TTTTATATTCTAGTAACTTTTTTACTTGTTAAAAAGCAAGTCAAAGCTTATGTAATGCAACAGTGACAACTGAACACTGAAGCTTTAATCTAATATGGAGGCAGGATTTTATCAACTTTGGAGCGTTTCTGTTACTGTTCTGAGTAGGCAACAATTATCAGTACTGCCTTTGTGAAGGTTACTACACTTAGCAGTGGGTAGAGGTGAAAGAGAAATCATTTTCTTAGTGATCAAACCCTCATCTGGCACAACTGACTTAGACAAATGAAGGTGCCAGTCACAGTAATTGCTACATCAGTTAATATGTGTTGGGATAAACATAAATTAAAAAATGCATTTCTACTCATTCTTTCCCCATGTTTGGGGATAGGTGGGCATCTTTACTACTGGCTCATTATATAGAGGTCTTCCAACAGAATGTTTATATATATCTTGGAAGAAGCAGCAATTTGCACAAAGTAAGCAGCAATTTGTAAAAGTAAGCAAACCCCAACATAATACACTTCTTGACTGTTAACTGATACCGATAAAAACATTCTTTTTAACTCTACGTTTCCAATTATTTGATACCCGCACTCCACAATCAAAGATTAAAAGCACAAACTAAAGATGTTCCTGAAATGCTCTGGTTACCAACATACCCTGAAATTCTTAGAACAATTAAAATGCCTGCATGCAACTCACTAGACTAATATTGAACAAGTCATTATATTTCAAAATTTTAGTGAAGCAGAATAAGACAGACACAGCCAACAGGCTGGAGCATGACGGGAACACAAGAATCTTGTCAGAGCCAGCACCTTTTGGGAGAAGGAGGGCAGCTCATCCAGCATTTTATCGGTCCCCACACAAAAGGAATGGAAGACTACACAGAAAGCGAAACAGAAAACGTCAGGCCTGCTGGGGAGTAGAGCTTCAAAGTCTGCAATGATCTAAAAGAAGTGCCAAACAACAGCAGGAAGGTTAATGAAACTAACACAGTATTTAATAAACCCCCCTGCCAGTTTACGAACACAAACATGAGCAAAGTAGAAGAATGAAAAAAATATTCTGGTTCATATATGCCAATTCTCCATCCAGACACAAAAAAAACTTTCTTATGTGCTGTAAATTTGAGGGAAGTTAATAGTTAACATTACTACTAATAAAAATATCAACCCAGACATCCCAATTTCTTCATTTTTTATTATCACTGGTCTATTTTTGAACTAATTTGCACTTACTCTTCCTCTTGCAGGGCACAATAACTGGCCCATCCTTTTGCTCAAGTATCGGAAGACTCTGTAGTCTGAACCTGATGTCTATTCAGGCCATAGACATTTAGTGGAGATAACCCTGGCTGGTGACTGGTGCTAGGAGCAGATTTCTACTGAAATTTCTCTGGAGATTTGCACCTGGTTTTGTTTTCCTCCTGTTGGAAAGACACTACTTATAGAATCATAGAATCATTTAGGTTGGAAAAGACCTCTAAGATCATCAAGTCCAACCGTACACCTAACACTGCCAAGTCCACCACTAAATCATGTCCCTAAGTGCCACATCGTCTTTTAAATACCTCCAGGGATGGTGACTCAACCACTTCCCTGGGCAGCCTGTTCCAATGTTTAAC